TCCTGAGATAATACATTGATACCGTGGTATCCGTGAATATGTCCTCTATCAAGTTTTTATAGTGGTACCCTTTGGCAGTTAATATTGACCCGTTATATACCCACCAATAGATAGTACCGCGGGCGCGTCGTCACGTCTATGCGCCTTGATAGACGCTCTGACGTTCCTGAGATAATACATTGATACCGTGGTATACGTGAATATGTCCTCTAGCAAGTTTATATAGTTGTACCCTTTGGCAGTTAATATTGACCGGTTATATACCCACCAATAGATAGTAGCGCGGGCGCGTCGTCAGGCGCTCCTGCGTTCCTGAGATAATACATTGATACCGTGGTATCCTTGAATATGTCCTCTATCAAGTTTATATAGTGGTGCCCTTTGGCAGTTAATATTGACCCGTTATATACCCAACAATAGATATTAGCGCGGGCGCGTCGTCACTTATATGCGCCTTGATAGGCGCTCCTGCGTTCCTGAGATAATACATTGATACCGTGGTATCCGTGAATATGTCCTCTATCAAGTTTATATAGTGGTACCCTTTGGCAGTTAATATTGACCCGTTATATACCCACCAATAGATAGTAGCGCGGGCGCGTCGTCACGTCTATGCGCCTTGATAGGCGCTCCTGCGTTCCTGAGATAATACATTGATACCGTGGTATCCGTGAATATGTCCTCTATCAAGTTTTTATAGTGGTACCCATTGGCAGTTAATATTGACCCGTTATATACCCACCAATAGAAAGTAGCGCGGGCGCGTCGTCACTTATATGCACCTTGATAGACGCTCTGACATTCCTGAGATAATACTTTGATACCGTGGTATCCGTGAATATGTCCTCTATCAAGTTTATATAGTGGTACCCTTTGGCAGTTAATATTGACCCGTTATATACCCACCAATAGATAGTAGCGCGGGCGCGTCGTCACTTATATGCGCCTTGATAAGCGCTCCTGCGTTCCTAAGATAATACATTGATACCGTGGTATCCGTGAATATGTCCTCTATCAAGTTTATATAGTGGTACCCTTTGGCAGTTAATATTGACCCGTTATATACCCACCAATAGATAGTAGCGCGGGCGCGTCGTCACTTATATGCGCCTTGATAAGCGCTCCTGCGTTCCTGAGATAATACATTGATACCGTGGTATCCTAGAATATGTCCTCTATCAAGTTTATATAGTGGTACCCTTTGGCAGTTAATATTGACCCGTTATATACCCACCAATAGATAGTAGCGCGGGCGCGTCGTCACTTATATGCACCTTGATAGACGCTCTGACGTTCCTGAGATAATACATTGATACCGTGGTATCCGTGAATATGTCCTCTATCAAGTTTATATAGTGGTACCCTTTGGCAGTTAATATTGACCCGTTATATACCCACCAATAGATAGTAGCGCGGGCGCGTCGTCACTTATATGCACCTTGATAGACGCTCTGACGTTCCTGAGATAATACATTGATACCGTGGTATCCGTGAATATGTCCTCTATCAAGTTTATATAGTGGTACCCTTTGGCAGTTAATATTGACCCGTCATCTACCCACCAATAGATAGTAGCGCTGGCGCGTCGTCACTTATATGCGCCTTGATAAGCGCTCCTGCGTTCCTGAGATAATACATTGATACCGTGGTATCCGTGAATATGTCCTCTATCAAGTTTATATAGTGGTGCCCTTTGGCAGTTAATATTGACCCGTTATATACCCACCAATAGATATTAGCGCGGGCGCGTCGTCACTTATATGCGCCTTGATAGGCGCTCCTGCGTTCCTGAGATAATACATTGATACCGTGGTATCCGTGAATATGTCCTCTATCAAGTTTATATAGTGGTACCCATTGGCAGTTAATATTGACCCGTTATATACCCACCAATAGATAGTAGCGCGGGCGCGTCGTCACTTATATGCACCTTGATAGACGCTCTGACGTTCCTGAGATAATACATTGATACCGTGGTAATCGTGAATATGTCCTCTATCAAGTTTATATAGTGGTACCCTTTGGCAGTTAATATTGACCCGTTATATACCCACCAATAGATAGTAGCGCGGGCGCGTCGTCACGTCTATGCGCCTTGATAGGCGCTCCTGCGTTCCTGAGATAATACATTGATACCTTGGTATCCGTGAATATTTCCTCTATCAAGTTTATATAGTGGTACCCATTGGCAGTTAATATTGACCCGTTATATACCCACCAATAGATAGTAGCGCGGGCGCGTCGTCACTTATATGCACCTTGATAGACGCTCTGACGTTCCTGAGATAATACATTGATACCGTGGTATCCGTGAATATGTCCTCTATCAAGTTTATATAGTGGTACCCTTTGGCAGTTAATATTGACCCGTTATATACCCACCAATAGATAGTAGCGCGGGCGCGTCGTCACGTCTATGCGCCTTGATAGGCGCTCCTGCGTTCCTGAGATAATACATTGATACCTTGGTATCCGTGAATATTTCCTCTATCAAGTTTATATAGTGGTACCCATTGGCAGTTAATATTGACCCGTTATATACCCACCAATAGATAGTAGCGCGGGCGCGTCGTCACTTATATGCACCTTGATAGACGCTCTGACGTTCCTGAGATAATACATTGATACCGTGGTATCCGTGAATATGTCCTCTATCAAGTTTATATAGTGTTACCCTTTGGCAGTTAATATTGACCCGTTATATACCCACCAATAGATAGTAGCGCGGGCGCGTCGTCACTTATATGCGCCTTGATAAGCGCTCCTGCGTTCCTGAGATAATACATTGATACCGTGGTATCCGTGAATATGTCCTCTATCAAGTTTATATAGTGGTACCCTTTGGCAGTTAATATTGACCCGTTATATACCCACCAATAGATAGTAGCGCGGGCGCGTCGTCACTTATATGCGCCTTGATAAGCGCTCCTGCGTTCCTGAGATAATACATTGATACCGTGGTATCCGTGAATATGTCCTCTATCAAGTTTTTATAGTGGTACCCTTTGGCAGTTAATATTGACCCGTTATATACCCACCAATAGATAGTTTGTTAGACTGTTTGGTTACAAAGCTAGTGGACGAGTTATTGTGTATGATTTTATAGTTTTATTTGGTTTAACGTGCTTTTAAATTACGGTATACTCAAATAACAAAAAACGAATTTGAAACAAATCACGACAGCAGTAAAATTGGCCTCGTAATACAGCGTTTGTTGAATGAAATGAACTATTTTAAATGGAAATGGTCATTACAAAAAAAATAATTAAAACTAACTAAAAAATCTTTACTACCGACCGGATGACATTATTAAGATAAATTAAAATTGCATCTCCCTAGCTCCCTCCCCCCCCACCCGCGCGCTCAACAGTTACAGTTCAATGCCCCTCTCCTACCCCCCCCCCCCCAAACACGGGCGCGCGCTCCACAGTACACACACACACATGCACTATTTATTGGTGAAGTTATTGGCAGCTTCACAGAAGTGGCCACTGCCACTTCATACAGCCGATGCCAGCGACGCAATGGCGTATTGTTTATTGGTTACCGATTGTATCTGCAGTTCTCGCTACACCATCCTCCATTTCACGTGACTGCTCTTCTGAAATTTTTAATTAGTTTTGGTAGTGCGTGTTTATAACGTTTTAAATGGGTGACTTTATAGATATCAAATCAAATCAAATCAAATAATCTTTATTCATTTTTTTGTATTTACATGAATACATTGAATAGAGTCACAATTCTTATAACTAATGTCCTTAATTAAAATATGATGGTTACAAATAAAACTTTTTTATGTTGTTGTATGACAATGACACTAATAATTATTTTTTTTATTTTACATTCCTTGAATTTAAAAAATCTTTACTTGAAAAGATAGGATGAGTCAATAGGTATTCTTTAAGGCGGGTTTTGAAACTGATATATTTTTCTTCACAAAGAATATTCTTCGGTAGATTATAAAGAAATTTAGTACCAATAAAAGTTGTTTTATTTTCAAAAATCTGTAATTTATGCGGTTCTACATATCTGTTATTTCTCAAGTTGTATGTATGTGATTTTTTACTGTATTTTTGTGTGTTTAATTTTTTTACATGTAAAATGGTTTCAAATATATATAGGTCATAAACCGTCATGATTCCTAATTTGAAAAAATATGGTTTTGTGGATTTTCTATTTTTTATATTAAAGATAATTCGTAATGCTTTCTTTTGCTGTTTCAGAATTTTTTTAAGGTTTTTATTGCTAGTCCCGCCATATATAGCAATACCATAAGCCATATGCGAGTTGATCAGAGCAAAATAGATTGATTTGAGAGTGTTAATATTGCATACATGAGACATTTGTCTCAAAGCATGTATGCCAGTTGACATTTTATTTACTACATGATCAACATGCTTATCCCAACTCAAATTCTCGTCTAGAATCAATCCAAGGAATTTTGTATGGTTTACTTGAATAATTTTTGATCCATCTAGCTGAACGTTTGGTTGTAATTTTAATAAAGATGCTATTGACAATCTGAAATAGTTACTGCTATCAAGCCTTAGTTCTTAAAAAAATAGTGGGATGTTCCCGTTTTTTCTCTGCTTTCATTAATCGGATGAATCCAGAACATATGTTTAATCCTACGGTGCTTAATACGTCGATACAATAACCACATAGCAACAACTCTTTTATGATTAAGTATTCAATAATGTCGTCTTGTCCTCGACACAACCACAAAGACTGATCGTTTGGCTGATAAAATTCTGGTATGTGTGCAAGCACCATGGACCAATAAAATATCGACCGACTTATTACGGACCGTCCAAAATCGGTGTGTGTGCAAATAGCCTGATGTGAGCTGCTGGGGGCTTTGATTCAAAATTAGGCCCTGGAATCAAATGACAATCCTCTGACCTTAATCCTATAGTTCATAATAAATCACCCTGTGTTAAGTAAGTGTACAGTCGCCAATGTGAGATTAGTTTTAAAAGCTGATGTGATTTTGTTGGTAGTTTCCTGGCTGTGGAAGAGATGCGAAGAGGTTCGTCTCCTGCTGCAGCGACTCGAGAGGCCGTCTCTCGTATCAAACAGTTCTACCCATCATTCAGTGGCGCCATCATTGCTGCCAACCTGTATGGTGAGTACGCAGCCGCTTGTCATGGAATGGACACGTTCCCTTTCTCTGTTCATGATCCGCACCATCCAGAGGGGATTGTTTTACGAGTTCCGTGTATATGAGACGAACTGTAATTGTTCACTTCTAAAATTGCTAAATTTATAGGAAATGTTTTCAAATACAATATTGGGTGCTATATTTTGTGTAGTTCTATTTGAATTACCGGAATTTAGTATATTGCAGTGACTAGGTTATTTTGAAGATGTAACCAACAGATAATTACCATTAGGATATTACTTTATTTTGTTGTCTTTCCACGCCATTGGCACCTAACGTCTTTTGGAATAAACCTTGGTCTCGATACAACCTTTGTCACGAGTTGTTGTAGAATAGAATCATTGAAGTGATAGTCGATAAATATTTACAACTGTGCCAAGAATAGTTAACTAAGGATTGGGGTTATGAATACCTTCTCAATACCAAAGAAAGATTTAGTAAAAAAGATTTTGTGCCTTAACACTAAGTCACCTCTTCTAGAAGTTAAGTCATATACTATTTAGTTGTATAAATTAGTGTAGTAGAACTCCAATTATCCGAATCAATTTGAACCGTACCCCATTTTGAAATTTAAAATTCGGAAAATTGGATTTTTACCAAAATTCAGAGTCAAAGAGTCTGCAACGATTGTCACAATCACAAAATTTACCTTTTCAACGCAATTGCGGAGTACGATAATGATTTTGGCAGGAGACGATCAATGATGGTGTCTACACAACTGTGGATTTATCTATCATTTTGCCGCGAGCGTGAAACACGATGATTATGTTACCAAGAATACAGGAGACGATGATGGTGTCAAAAATGCCATGGGATATATTTATCATTTTTCCGCAATCACGAAAAATGATGACGATGTTACCGTGACCGCGGGAGACATTGATGGTGTCAACACAACATTGATGGTGTTAACACAGTCGTGAGACAGGTTTTGGATTTTTCCTTGATGATGGTTTCTGCCTTATTTAATAACGATTCGTATTGCTGTGATTTTAAATTTTTAAATAATATCTGTAAGCAATTTGGATAGTTGGAGTTCGGATAATTGGAGTTCTACTGTACTCAAATGTTAGTATCTAATTATTTCCAATACTGTGTGTGTTTATATATTTACTACTTGTTTGTTAAAACTGCACAAGGCCTTAATGTTATGAAATCTAATATTCTTATTGGTTTAAAAAGTAGCATTGGTTCATTTTCCTTAAATATATATATTTGATACTTTTAATACTGGAAATAGGTTATCAAACTGCAAAAACGTGTTATTAAAATTTAAGTAAGAAATTATATTTTTAAATAATACCTTTGATTTTGACTATTGATTGGTAAAACTAGACATTCCATCCCCACGTTAGTTGTTGCCCAAAACGGACGTAGTAGAAGTGAGCCACCTACAGATTGTGCTGATAAAATTATTGAGTTGATAAAACAACTTTTGTAAGCTGTAGCATCACGTCAACTATCTCAATAACAAGGAGGTAAAAAAGTATAATTTTGTACACTAGCGCAATCCATGACTGGCTCACGTTATTTTTTTTTAAAAATTCGCGACAGCTATTCCTTATAGATGGCATGTCTAGGTAGAACACATGGGAGTAGCCAAATCTTGTACATTCTATTGTATGTATGAATTGGCTACTCCAATATATTCTATCTTTTTCATATCATCAATAATTTACCCTACACCGTGAAGAACAATTTTTATGTGTCCTTTATTTGTGAACCTGTAAAAAACACTTCAACTTTGTCAGGTAATCACCTTTTCCCTGTTGAAATAATCTCCTTAAACATAATGGATGTCAATGAAAAAAGTCACAATATTTAACAAAATTATTTTTATTAAAACTAATAAGACAGATAACATAGCAACATAACTATACCAACAATATAAAAACCTGAAATGTTTATCTCGATCAGTCTATTGATTAGTGATATTTGTATCTTTCTGCATAAAACATTCTACACATCAATAATGAAATAGTTGTAGTAGACTTATAAAGGAATATTGTTGTATCAGATCATAAATTTTAAAATTAAAAACTAGGTCTAGGCTAGTAAAAAAACAATGAATTAAATATTAGTAATTTGTGCAATCGGGATGGCATTAGCACATACACAAAAACACACCATGTAATAATTGACGATATGGAAGAAACCAGCTTGTGAAAACAAATGGGGTAACTTAAAACACTGTTATTACATTCAGTACAATAAATTGGCATAAAACATCTCCATTTATAACCATTTGGCAATCTAAAACATTTTAGGCCAAGCAAATATGGCAAGCTCGAATAACCTCTTTGTACTTGGAACCAAACAATTTTAACTGCAAAGACACAAATACAGGCCAATTTGTAGAACGGTTTTGCAAAACCATCTAATACACAGTCCTAATTAACCGTTTTCTATCACAAGGCTAACTTACAAAAAAGGCACAACATTGATTTTTGTGGCATAACTGTCACAAATAAAAATAATATTACTTCTACTTTGGCTCTTGAAACGTAAATCACTCGTCTTTTCCGCAACACAAGAGTACAGTGGAAAGCTTGAAATGCAGTTCAAAATTAAAAAGTTAACAAATCTTCCAATACCTGTTTATGGACAATATCCGAATAGTAATAAGTAGTTATAATATTTAAACAGCTCTCTTAACTGATCAACTATATCAACAATTAGCTTTTTCATAGGATTAGTGTAATCTTCTCTAATACAATCTCCATCTGAATATGATTATAATGGCCCTGCTTTGATGGTAAAAAAACTTATACAAAAAACCTGGGAAAATAACTAAACAATTATTAAAATTATAAAGTATTTTTCCTACCACTGCATGGAATAATAACATTGCCACACCTGTAAAAAGTACGCAAAATAGCTCATTTCCACTCTAGAGTGAGAAAGGCCAGCAGGAAATGTATGGCCGCACAAAGCTTAAAGTTCTCAAGTGGCAATGATATATTTTGTGCTCTTAATACACAAATAGCTATTCTCCACACCTATTTAAACGCTTATAGCTTTTCCAAAATATTTACGACCATCTGAATAGCTTCCAGATCTTTTACAGTATGGAACATACTTTCTAATGGTTCAACAGAACAATATTGTTTACCAAACCATATAGGGGCAGATTGAAATACTCAATGTACCTTAAAGGTAACCGACTTTATTGTACCAATCAATTTTCCACTGTATCACCAATTTATATACATCGAGCCAAAAAAATTAACCACCTTCAAAGCATCTTGATGCTGTAATATCTTGTTAAGTCTTACTACTAAATCTCGTGTAACTATCGCTTATAGAAAAAATACAAAAGAAAGTGTTTTGAGCTTAGACAGGTCAGATCTGGGAGCTGAATCTTGGCCGAGGGAGATCTCCAAAGACAGCATCTCCGTGGACACTCTTCGCGAGGGCTTTGATACTGGCTGCGATGTCCATGGGCTGCTGTGGCACCTGCGCAACATTGTATAATTTAAGAAGGTTGCATTTAATTTCAGTTTAATTACTGTGACTATTACTATAGTTAGTTGGTTCACAAAATTTAGGCAATTAAGGGGAAGATTCCTGGGTTCCCCCACAGCTTTTTTATTGCTTAATCTGTCGTTTGGTTTCAAAGTTAAAGTAAGGTAAAGAGGATGAAATGGCTTTGCCTCAAATCGCCTAAATTTTGTGAACCAACTAACTATAGCATTTCCACTAATCTGTCCTACCTTGTAACCAACACTGCACTACCCTGTAGATCCTGTACCTTAGCCTACCCCACCCAGTACCTGCAGTAACCTACGCTGCACTACCCTGTAGATCCTGTACCCTAGCCTACCCCACCCAGTACCTGCAGTAACCTACGCTGCACTACCCTGTAGATCCTGTACCCTAGCCAGCCCTACCCAGTACCTACAGTAACCTACGCTGCACTACCCTTTAGATCCTGTACCCTAGCCAGCCCTACCCAGTACCTGCAGTATCCTACGCTGCACTACCCTGTAGATCCTGTACCCTAGCCCACCCTACCCAATACCTGCAGTAACCTACGCTGCACTACCCTGTAGATCCTGTACCCTAGCCCACCCTACCCAGTACCTACAGTAACCTGCACTGTACTACCCTGTAGATCCTGCACCCTAGCCCGCCCTACCTAGTACCTACAGTAACCTACGCTGCACTACCCTGTAGATCCTGCACCCTAACCTGCCCTACCCAGAACCTACAGTAACCTACGCTGCACTACCCTGTAGATCCTGCACCCTAGCCCACCCTACCCAGTACCTACAGTAACCTACGCTGCACTACCCTGTAGATCCTGTACCCTAGCCAGCCCTACCCAGTACCTACAGTAACCTACGCTGCACTACCCTGTAGATCCTGCACCCTAGCCCACCCTACCCAGTACCTTCAGTAACCTACGCTGCACTACCCTGTAGATCCTGTACCCTAGCCAGCCCTACCCAGTACCTACAGTAACCTACGCTGCACTACCCTGTAGATCCTGCACCCTAGCCCACCCTACCCAGTACCTACAGTAACCTACGCTGCACTACCCTGTAGATCCTGTACCCTAGCCAGCCCTACCCAGTACCTACAGTAACCTACGCTGCACTACCCTGTAGATCCTGCACCCTAGCCCACCCTACCCAGTACCTTCAGTAACCTACGCTGCACTACCCTGTAGATCCTGTACCCTAGCCAGCCCTACCCAGTACCTACAGTAACCTACGCTGCACTACCCTGTAGATCCTGTACCCTAGCCCACCCTACCCAGTACCTACAGTAACCTACGCTGCACTACCCTGTAGATCCTGTACCCTAGCCAGCCCTACCCAGTACCTACAGTAACCTACGCTGCACTACCCTGTAGATCCTGCACCCTAGCCCACCCTACCCAGTATCTACAGTAACCTACGCTGCACTACCCTGTAGATTCTGTACGCTAGCCCACCCTACCCAGTACCTGCAGTAACCTACGCTGCACTACCCTGTAGATCCTGTACCCTAGCCAGCCCTACCCAGTACCTACAGTAACCTACGCTGCACTACCCTGTAGATCCTGTACCCTAGCCAACCCTACCCAGTACCTGCAGTAACCTACGCTGCACTACCCTGTAGATCCTGTACCCTAGCCCACCCTACCCAGTACCTACAGTAACCTACGCTGCACTACCCTTTAGATCCTGTACCCTAGCCAGCCCTACCCAGTACCTGCAGTATCCTACGCTGCACTACCCTGTAGATCCTGTACCCTAGCCCACCCTACCCAGTACCTGCAGTAACCTACGCTGCACTACCCTGTAGATCCTGTACCCTAGCCCACCCTACCCAGTACCTACAGTAACCTGCACTGTACTACCCTGTAGATCCTGCACCCTAGCCCGCCCTACCTAGTACCTACAGTAACCTACGCTGCACTACCCTGTAGATCCTGCACCCTAACCTGCCCTACCCAGAACCTACAGTAACCTACGCTGCACTACCCTGTAGATCCTGCACCCTAGCCCACCCTACCCAGTACCTACAGTAACCTACGCTGCACTACCCTGTAGATCCTGTACCCTAGCCAGCCCTACCCAGTACCTACAGTAACCTACGCTGCACTACCCTGTAGATCCTGCACCCTAGCCCACCCTACCCAGTACCTTCAGTAACCTACGCTGCACTACCCTGTAGATCCTGTACCCTAGCCAGCCCTACCCAGTACCTACAGTAACCTACGCTGCACTACCCTGTAGATCCTGTACCCTAGCCCGCCCTACCTAGTACCTACAGTAACCTACGCTGCACTACCCTGTAGATCCTGCACCCTAACCTGCCCTACCCAGAACCTACAGTAACCTACGCTGCACTACCCTGTAGATCCTGCACCCTAGCCCACCCTACCCAGTACCTACAGTAACCTACGCTGCACTACCCTGTAGATCCTGTACCCTAGCCAGCCCTACCCAGTACCTACAGTAACCTACGCTGCACTACCCTGTAGATCCTGCACCCTAGCCCACCCTACCCAGTACCTTCAGTAACCTACGCTGCACTACCCTGTAGATCCTGTACCCTAGCCAGCCCTACCCAGTACCTACAGTAACCTACGCTGCACTACCCTGTAGATCCTGTACCCTAGCCCACCCTACCCAGTACCTACAGTAACCTACGCTGCACTACCCTGTAGATCCTGTACCCTAGCCAGCCCTACCCAGTACCTACAGTAACCTACGCTGCACTACCCTGTAGATCCTGCACCCTAGCCCACCCTACCCAGTATCTACAGTAACCTACGCTGCACTACCCTGTAGATTCTGTACGCTAGCCCACCCTACCCAGTACCTGCAGTAACCTACGCTGCACTACCCTGTAGATCCTGTACCCTAGCCAGCCCTACCCAGTACCTACAGTAACCTACGCTGCACTACCCTGTAGATCCTGTACCCTAGCCAACCCTACCCAGTACCTGCAGTAACCTACGCTGCACTACCCTGTAGATCCTGTACCCTAGCCCACCCTACCCAGTACCTGCAGTAACCTACGCTGCACTTCCCTGTAGATCCCGTACCCTAACCTACCCCACCCAGTACCTGCAGTAACCTACGCTGCACTACCCTGTAGATCCTGTACCCTAGCCCACCCTACCCAGTACCTACAGTAACCTACGCTGCACTACCCTGTAGATCCTGTATCCTAGCCAGCCCTACCCAGTACCTACAGTAACCTACGCTGCACTACCCTGTAGATCCTGCACCCTAGCCCACCCTACCCAGTACCTACGCTGCACTACCCTGTAGATTCTGTACGCTAGCCCACCCTAACCAGTACCTGCAGTAACCTACACTGCACTACCCTGTAGATCCTGTACCCTAGCCAGCCCTACCCAGTACCTACAGTAACCTACACTGCAATACCTGTAGTAGATCCTGTACCCTAGCCGACCCTACCCAGTACTTGCAGTAACCTACGCTGCACTACCCTGTAGATTCTGTACGCTAGCCCACCCTACCCAGTACCTGCAGTAACCTACACTGCACTACCCTGTAGATCCTGTACCCTAGCCAGCCCTACCCAGTACCTGCAGTAACCTACACTGCACTACCCTGTAGATCCTGTACCCTAGCCAGCCCTACCCAGTACCTACAGTAACCTACACTGCACTACCCTGTAGATCCTGTACCTTAGCCTACCCCACCCAGTACCTGCAGTAACCTACGCTGCACTACCCTGTAGATCCTGTACCCTAGCCTACCCCACCCAGTACCTGCAGTAACCTACGCTGCACTACCCTGTAGATCCTGTACCCTAGCCAGCCCTACCCAGTACCTACAGTAACCTACACTGTACTACCCTGTAGATCCAGAATCTACAGTAGTGTAGGTTACTGTAGGTACTAGGTAGGGTCGGCTAGGGTACAGGATCTACTACAGGTAGTGCAGTGTAGGTTACTGAAGGTACTGGGTAGGGTCGGCTGCGGTACAGGATCTACAGGGTAGTACAGTGTAGATTACTGTAGGTACTGGGTAGGGTAGGCTAGGGTACAGGATCTACAGGTAGTGCAGTGTAAGTTACTGTAGGTACTAGGTAGGGCGGGCTAGGGTACAAGATCTACAGGGCAGTACAATGCAGGTTACTATAGGTACTGGGTAGGGCGGGCTAGGGTACAGGATCTACAGGGTAGTACAGTGCAGGTTACTGTAGGTACTAGGTAGGGCGGGCGAGGGTACAGGATCTACAGGGTAGTACAGTGTAGATTACTGTAGGTACTGGGTAGGGCGGGCTAGGGTACAGGATCTACAGGTAGTGCAGTGTAGGTTACTGTAGGTACTAGGTAGGGCGGGCTAGGGTACAGTATCTACAGGGTAGTATAGTGCAGGTTACAGTTGGTACTGGGTAGGGCGGGCTGGTACAGGATCTACAGGGTAGTACAGGTTACTGTAGGTACTGGGTAGGGCAGGCTAGGGTACAGAATCTACAGGGTAGTAAAGTGTAGATTACTGCAGGTACTGGGTAGGGTCGGCTAGGGTACAGGATCTACTACAGGTATTGCAGTGTAGGTTACTGTAGGTACTGGGTAGGGCAGGCTAGGGTACAGGATCTACAGGGTAGTACAGTGTAGATTACTGCAGGTACTGGGTAGGGTCGGCTAGGGTACAGGAACTACTACTGGTATTGCAGTGTAGGTTACTGTAGGTACTGGGTAGGGCAGGCTAGGGTACAGGATCTACAGGTAGTGCAGTGTAGGTTATTGTAGGTACTGGGTAGGGCGGGCTTGGGTAAAGGATCTACAGAGTAGTACAATGTAGGTTACTGTAGGTACTGGGTAGGGCAGGCTAGGGTACAGAATCTACAGGGTAGTAAAGTGTAGATTACTGCAGGTACTAGGTAGGGTCGGCTAGGGTACAGGATCTACTACAGGTAGTGCAGTGTAGGTTACTGAAGGTACTGGGTAGGGTGGGCTAGGGTCCAGGATCTACAGGGTA